GACCCAGGTCGCGAAGTCGATTCTGCGACTGATATATTCAAAGAGCTGGTAGAAACTGAAGGTACTGTTAGCGCAAGGCCAAAGTCACGATTGATTTTTTTTTTCGCAACAACATGTCAGTTGTCGCAAAACATCGCATCTCACAAACTAGCCATTCAATCTTCGACGAGCTGTGAGATGCGATATCCTGGAATATCTTTTCCTGGCCAGATTTTGTTGTTGCTACGGCAGGGCTCTTGGAGGATCTAGCAATATGGTCCTGGGAGCGGGAAAGGAACATCCTGGGACTCAAGAACGGTGACCAGAACAAAATAAACACAGGGACGGTGTGAGGGCCAGAAGAAAAAAGCACATACCCAGGGATTCGATCCTTGAACTAGAAAAGGCCTGTCCGGATGTCGATACCGAAGCTAGGGAGGGCAAAACGAGGGTCTGAGAGTTGCTTGAGGCGATGCCAGACGAGGATCCAGTAGCCCGGGCTGCAGAGCTTCCGTAGAGAGAGGTGGATGAACCTGAGCTCTCGCTGCGGGATACAGATTGAGCATTGCTAATCGTAGATGCGCCGGCCGATGAAGCTCTCGATAACGAGTTCTCATCAACCTCCCAGAAGACCCTGATAATTGGCGTCCCTATTGAGCCGGAGGGCAAGGAAAAAGATGCAATTATCGCAGGGTCATTTATTGTGGATATACCAGGGAGACCAAACCTAGGACTGGAGGAGGTCGTGTCAAGGGTTGGAAGCTGGGCGTTGATGATTGTGCTATTGATAGTGTCAGAAAGCTATCATGGACAAGAAGGTAGGATAGGCACTCACGCATATCCTAAGACTAATCCAAGTACAACAGGTGAACGGAGTAATTTGGGAAGAGCCGTATGGAGCAGCATGGCGATAAAGATTTCGACACTGCACCCGCCGACAACGCCTCACGTGGAGGAGTAAAGACCGTGTACCGCAGTGATATTGCGATGAATGAAAATTAAAAAACCGAGTGAGTGAGGGTTGTATTTTGTCTACGTAGACGACATGAATCTTTGCGAGAAAAAGTATTTAGGAAATTCGATTAGGGAGTGGGAAGGAGCTAAGTGTATGCAAAATCGACTGTTGACATTGTTGAGGTTGGAATTGTACGCTAGGCGTAAGCGAGAGAAGAATTAGCATTCCATACATAGCTTTTTGAATGTCGTAAGTTTTGTCTCTGATTGATGACGAGAATTTTTTTGCTAATTGGGATGTTCTCTGTGCCCTTAGTGTTGACACCGTTGAGGTTGGAATTGTACGCTGGGCGTAAGCGAGAGAAGAATTAGCATTCCATACATGGCTTTTGAATGTCGTAAGTTTTGTCTCTGATTGATGACGAGAATCTTTTTGCTAATCGGGATTTTCTCTGTGCCCTAAATTGGTGATTTCAAAAAATATGGATCTACCATGGGCCTGGAGCTATCCTCTGTTGCATCAGGCTTCCTCCGACTAATTCGGACATACAAGACCTCGGGCAAGAGGCTCTTCCATAGTAATAATCCAGGGCGCTGCTCCGCTGGGTGTTACATAAAAATAACCATAAACTTGGATCTGGAATATCCCTTGGCATTATTGATATGGAGTAGATATTCCTTAGGGGATAGCTCCGCTAGCATTCCGTGGCAATTTGTGGAATGAAGAGGTGAGGGGCGAAGCGCCGGAGGGTCTCAAACCACCCAACTTCCGATACTGATAGGATGAGAAGACGGGAGGTCTCAGGTTATTCGGATATAGCCCCGGGAGAAAATGACTGGCTGGATTGATCATCTTGGGTCGAGAGACTGGGCATCAAGGGTAGAAGAGGATACACTCGTGGCAAAAACAGAGTATCGCCATCATTCGATGCCTCGTCAGTAAATATTAAATCACTCGAGCCGATCTTGGGCAACCCAGAGCAAACCCGCCGGGAACGGCCCGACGGGAGGGATCAGCCCCTTCCATTCCTCTCACCTCATTTCTGTACCAACATCAGGAATCGAATCATGAAATCAGGGAGGATCAACTCACAAAAACCCGTCAAGGTTTTCAGAGGCACTTTCCCAGAAGACAAATCAATTAGCAGCGCTGCGCCAGCCGCGTATTACTTTTTCCCGGGAATGCTCCTCAGTCTTCACGGAGAATCCATGCGCTTGACGTATTCATACCGTATTAAAGTATTCTTCGCTCGCAACTGATAAATCTGCTGAAGCTAGAGTTTTCCACGTGTGCAGATGCAATGACAATAAATTAGCGCTGAATCGGCCTCAACCCCGTCCAGGAGTATCGGGCGACTTACAGCGACGGACGGTCTTCCCTTTTGCCCCCTCATGCGTTTCACCGTGTCGAAGTACCTACACATTCAGGCCCGACACTTTCGCGTCTTCCGTCTCTTCCCTTCCGAGCGAGAAAACACAAGCCAGCTAGCTCCGGTCTGGTGCTCCGTTCAGTCCTCGGCGGATCCACAAGAATATTAATGCAGAAGTCTGATTGTGCCAATGATGTGTAGTAGTGCTGCTTCTGTAACTGATTAGCTGGTCGTTTTCCAGACAGAGCTTCCATAATAGATAGATCATCAGAGATAGATGTCTACCCAGGGACTTTACTTACGTGCGTTGATTTTCTCAACCTGCCAAATCCATACCTAACCTACCCTGCAGGACCCTTAGATCTTCAACACCTACCTACACACGGTAAGAGAAATCTAGACCTTCGATTCCAACCACCAACCACTCACTACCAGCGCATATCACTCCTCGTTGGTCCTTGCCGCAAAAACCCGCTTTAATCTGCCCTATCGATCGTACCCACAAAAAGTATAGGATGGATACCGGTACCGTACTTACAACGTCCCTCCGTTCACTGCAATGCACCGACACTGTAAGTATTAAGAAGCCGTTCCATCCAAGCCCTCACCTTTTCACTTCTGAAAAGAGAGTCCTTTCATCTCGGTTAGAAAAGGGTTCAATTCACAATACGTACTAGTAACAATCAGGGTGCAGTTCTCTCCTTCAAGCGTGCCCCGAGCAGAAGAAAATAGAGTTAGATCCGCTACTCATCACCGGCCGTAACAAAACCTTCCCCTGTTGACAGCACGTGCGGCCAGCAGCCAGCTCAGCTCAGCTCCACGCATATCATTGGAATACACTTTAGCCGTTACCCGCACTCATTTCGAAACCGGTGCCAACAGCGAAAGGTGAAAGGTAAAGTTTCCCGTTCCTCGTTGGACCCCTATGCACATAACCCTGGTAGGAAAAAAAAAAGAATTTCCTCCGCAGGGCTCAATGCTTGGTTATGGTGGCTACTTAAGTATTTGTTTGGCTGGGCAGGTCTTCTGTACTTGGCGGGTAGCGGCCTACTGCCAGGTAAAATTGTAATAGAGTGCTTCACCAATGGAATTGTCTCCCGTTGGCCTTTTCCTAATTTCTGAGGAAAACGGTCCGTCGGAGGGTAAGGGTCCGAGAAAAAAAATCAAAGAGATCGATGCTGTGCGAGATGGAAGGAAAGGAGAGATATGTGTATAAAATGCCCGTCACCCTGAAATTGGAGTTCCTCATTCAAGTCTGTGACTTTTCTTCGACTCTCATTTTACCTATTAATATCGTTTCGACAACATGGCTCCCCGCCACGCTTTTTTTCCTCTTGCCTTTGGGATAGTAACAGCCCTGACGCCAGGCCCGACGCCTGAGACGCATCCCACTCTCATCACTTCCAAGTGTACCGTCGCAGGCGGCTGTACTGAACAGACAAGCTTGCTGGTGCTGGATCAACTCGCACATCCTCTTTACCAAGCTGCTGCTCCAGAATACAATGTGTGTAACCAGGTGGCCCCAAAATTTCGTGTTCCTGATTACCCCAAAAATACCAGAGACCAGCTCTCTTCTCCCCTTGAGTACCCCCAGATAATGCAGTCATTGATGCCCTATCACAGTGTGGAGACTGGGGCGAAGGACCCAACAGCACCGCCTGTCCTGACGCGCAAACCTGCGCCAAGAACTGCATCGTTGATGGTATCTCCTCCTACGCCTCGTACGGCGTCACCACCACCGGGTCTTCCCTACTCATGAAGATGCTCTCCCCCGACGGCCGCACCCTCACCCCCAGAATCTACCTTCTAGAGCCGGCAGGGGACCGGTACGAGATGCTGACTTTAAGCGGCGGCGAGCTGAGTTTCGACGTCGATATAAGTCAGCTGCCGTGCGGAATGAACGGCGCGCTGTATCTGAGCGAGATGGCCGCAGATGGGGGCAGAAGCGATCTGAATCCCACGGGGGCCGGGTATGGGAGTGGGTATTGTGATGCGCAATGCTTTACGCTGCCATTTTTGAACGGCGAAGTAAGTGATCTACTCCCTTCCAATTTTGACACACCCTGGTGCGTATTCAACGGTGGATTGACGAAAGCACATATAGGCCAACCTCGACGGCAAGGGTAGCTGCTGCAACGAAATGGATATCTGGGAAGGCAACGCTCGCGCCAATGCCATCGTTCCCCATACTTGTAACCAGACTGGCCTGTACGCCTGTTCGGGAGATGAATGCGCGGCTGACGGCGTTTGCGACAAGCCCGGGTGCGGATATAACACTTATTCGTTGGGCAATCGGGACTATTACGGCCCTGGTTTGACAGTCGATACGAATCGCCCGTTTACTGTTGTCACGCAGTTCCCGGAGGTTGATGGGAAGATGACGGAGATCAGACGGTTGTACGTCCAAGATGGAGTTGTTATTCAGAATGCGAAACTGAATACGACAATCGCAGGGCTGGACCCGACGAAGGTGCTGGATAGTGTGAGTGATGAGTTGTGTGGGCAGGTGGCGCCTAAGTACATGGCTCTTGGAGGCACGACCGGAATGGGTGAAGCGATGAAGCGGGGTATGGTGTTGATATTTAGTATCTGGTGGGATGAGGGCGGATTTATGCGGTGGCTGGACAGCGGGAATTCTGGACCTTGTAATGCCACGGAGGGCGATCCCAAAGTCATCGTGAAGGTAGAACCAGATCCAGCGGTAGTCTGGTCGAATGTGAAATGGGGCGAGATTGGGAGTACATTTTCGTAGCGTTCGTAGATTACATATCTTTGTACGCAGAACGGAATCCAGATCCTTACAGAAACTCCGAAGCTCGGTTCCGGAGTTCTGGTTCTGGATCTGAGGTGGGTAGAGTGCCGCTCTGCTTGTACTTCTGCAGAACTTCATCCCAATACGCCTCCGGCTTTTCTTCCAAGTTTGTGCTCGCAGCCTGCGATGCAAAGAAAAACTTCTCTTCCTCCACTCTCTCCTCTTTCCCCTTCTGCATTGCCTCCAACCCAGGCTCCTTCCGCCTTTTGGTCTTCGCCTGCAAAGCCTACCAGCGATACGTGACCTCCACTCCAACGGCCATCTCTTTTGCCCACACTCCGCTTGCGAATTGCACATTCAAGTTCTTATTGATCTTTTTGGCCCCTTCGGCTGAAGAATTTTTGAAAGCTGTGACCGCTGGTCGGAACTCAGCCCTTTTCCGTCAATCGACCACCTTCTCCGCCTGCACGATAGACGCGTCTTGCTCTCTTCTCTGAGTGGCCAGTTTTCCCAAGATACCGCGTGTCATGTGCTGCTCAAGCCCAGCGAGCTTCGTTGATATGACGTTAAACGAGACTCTCTATTTGCCAGCTCTGTTGGGCATAGCAAACGGCCTCTGGAATCGGATCGCAAAGGGCGTTTGACATGTGGCAAGCGTTTGCAATATCGAATTGTAGAAACGCGGACTCGGGAGTGTGAGTTGATGTACGATAGGTAGGAATCCGCATCAAGGCATCCACACCCGCCGCATCTTTGGGCGGTATCCCAGCGGCACCAATGATATTGTGCTCTTCCCTTAGCTTGCTCCAGAGAGGCGCCACAGTCTCAGACGTAGCCAACAACGAGATCTTGACCTGACACAGCGCGAACGGTCAGTTTTGGCTCCATCGGTCTATGGGATTTGGGATTCATCATTCTGGTATACGCTTTGCTTGCTTGCCCAGGCGCGGAGCCAATTTCTTATCGTTTGATCCGGACCTCTCTTTTCGTTTCAACAGACGGATCTTCTACATTTCTCGATGGTACTTTGTGGAAAGACCTTGGGATATTATTAGCGCATCCGAAACCCGGGACATTCAATTCCCGTGCGTTGACTTTTCGGACTATTGGCTGGTCCTCCTCCTCGTTGTGTAGGGGGTTAATATCGGCTTCATCCACCGCTTGGATCCTAGCAACTCTGAGTTTTTTTTTTGGAAACTCTTCGGATATTGAATGTGATCTCGAAGGCTTCCCCGGCTTTGGGAACCATGAGTTTCTTGATTGCAATTGTTGAAGTCCCCATGATTCAATGTGTCATGTGACGAGCTGCAGATTTTGGATGTTGATGCACAGGCGAATAGGAGGGGGCAGGAAGAGAATTATAGAGAAGAGCAATTCGCTATTGGGAAAAATTGATGTACTGCATGTCGACTTGGGCAAGCTGGGAAGGATTGGTGGTAGAAGCCGGCGATAATATCCAGGTATCACGATGAAGTGGAAGAAGATGCGGCCGCAAACGAACGTCGTGCTTACTTAAGCACTAAAGGGTAACGCAGTGGCATGAGATTTTGAATTTGGCATCTAGCCTAATTGTATCCTGATAGAATGCGACTGAGAATCTCGAAGTTATAATTTTTACAATCAGGCGCAGTATTGTATAGAAGCTACAAAGTCTCTGATTCCCTCCTAGGATGACCATTTAAGTGCTGCTATCTACAGAACAATTTTTCCTCTCTGAAAATGGTGACTCGGTCTTCTGGAGATATGCAGACTAATGGCCGCCCTTCCGCTTCTTCCGCATCTGCCTCTTTTTTTGAATGATCTGTGCCCTGCGCTGTAACCTGCCCTCTTCCCCAGGCGGGAAACCCGCCTTGAAGGCCTTGACTTCAGGCTCCTTGATACCCTTCTTCACCTTTTTGCCCTTCGCTTCCCCCGCATCAGACACGGTCCTCTTACGCTTCTCCACATCAACCTTCTCGAAGGTCTTCTTCTCCCCTTCCCCACCTGCCTTCCACGGGCCCTTCTTGCCTGGTCTACCAGCTTTGCCTTTCATCCCCTCTCTCGTCTTCTTCATTACCTCGCCCCGTGTCAAAGTTTTCTTCTCCTTGGGCGGAGCTTCACCGGCTTTGCGAAGTTTCTCAACCTCCAAGCTTCGTAAGCGGGCTTTATCCTCTTTCTCCTTCCGCCTCTGGACAACTTGCGCATTCTCTATCGCAAACTCCACAACCAGGCGCTGCTTCTTTCCCTTATTCTCATTCTCGACCGCATACCCGTTCATCCATCTCAAGCCCATCAATGCCAAACGATGACTTGAGTATTCAACAAAACCGTAACCGCGAGACTTGCCTGCACCGGACCCTTCAGAAACTTTCGTGCCTTCACGACCCTCAAACACGATTTTAGCCTGGTGCACAACACCTTTGCCTTTGGCTTTCCCGACTTTCTCGGCCTCGCGCATTTCCTTTCCACCACGGTTTTTTTCTTCCGACGATAGAGGTTGGCGAAGCCCAGCTTTAACATCCTTGGCAAATCCAATGACGGCTTCGCGGGCGAGAGTTTTGAGGTCTTTAGATGTATAGTTCTTGGGCAAGTTGCGGATTGAGAGACGAGTCAGGGACAGAGACAGCATGGGGTTGTTCTGGATGAGCTTTTTTCGTTGCTTAGCCGAGTCTTCGCGCATTGTTACTTCAGAAGGGGCGAGAGCGTCGTAGAGCGGTGTGCCTTTTGCGACGGTTCCTTCAGAGAGAAGGTACAATTTGCGTTTGTCTTTTTCGGCCTGTGTGCGCATGTTCTCTCCGTTTTCGGTAAGCTTGACGGCCGTTTCTTTCTCCACGGCTTTGGAGACGAGGATGAGACGGCCGTCGAGAGAGTACATGCCGCTTGTATCGGCAGCGTCATTTTCAAGGATAGAGTGTTTGATCTTGGTGATGGCGTTGGCGCCGGTTGGTTGATGTTTAGGGGCATTGCGAAAGCACATGTCGGCATCGTGTAAGTTGTAGAAGCAGACGAAGCCTGTGCCGCGGGGACGATCGGTTGCCCGGTCCATTACTACGCGAGCGTAGCGGACGGGCCCAAATTGCTCAAAGTGTTCCTTGAGTTCGGCATCGCGGACTGTGAAGGGAAGGTTGCGGATGAAAAGAGTGGTAGAGTTGTCTGTCACGAGAACTTTGGTACGGGCGACTGGGACTTCGACCTCGGATTCGGATTCAGAAGACTCATTGTCTTCCCAGGTCTCTTCCTCTTCCTCGCCTTCTTTCTCCTCTTGGTGATTGTCGTCTCCGTCGTCGTCCTCATCCTCAGATTCCAGATTGTCACCGAATTTCTTGAAGAAATTGGCGACGTCGTCCTCTTCTTTGTCTTCATCTTCGGGAGGCTTCTCAGCAGACTTCTTAAGCTTCTTATGTTTAGACCCACCGTCATCCTCGACGGTCTCGCCTTCGTTAGCTGCCCCTTGCTGCGTCTCCCAAACACTCTTTTCAACCGCCCAATCCACAGCCAGAATCCGCCCATCCACCAACGTGCCATTGATAGCAGCCAATGCCTTATCAGCATTCTTCTTTCCTCGCATCGTGATAAAACCAAATCCAGCTTGCGTGTCTCCCTTCTTCTTCGGCAACACGGAAAACTTGACCTTCCCAAACTTCTTGAAAATCTCAGCCAGCTTCTCAGGTGTGTTCACACTCCAAGGCAGATTTCTTATGATCAGCTTCGGCGGCTTCTTCTCCTCGGCCATTTGCTCCAGCCTCTCCTTCTTGATCCTCGCCGCCTCCGCAGAAATGGTGCTTTTCCGTTTACCCTCCAACCCTTTCCCATCAGCCATCTCCCTAGATCTGGGCTGCGCAATCTCAATCTTCATTTTCCGCCCCATGAAAGTCTTGCCATTGAACTCTTCCAGCGCCCGCTGCGCATCCTCCGCATCAGCCAGAGTAACAAAACCATAGCCTTTCGATTGCTTGGTTTCAGGATCGAGGACGACGGTGGCGTGCTTGAGGGGATAGTCTTGGGAGAAGAGCTCGGTGAGCTTGTCACTGGTTGCTATTGCAGGCAGGGAGCGCACGAAGAGAGTTCGTTTGGCTTGGGCGTTGGGCAGGGAGTCAGACTCTGCGCGCTCTTTGCGTGGTTTTTTGGACGGGGGATCTTGGGAGATAGGAATGTTTTCGATATCACCACCTATGTCTTCGGGGTTGCGAGTTCGTTTACCCATTTCGATGATTTGGTATAGATTTCGGTGTTGACTGGGAACCGGGCTTGGACTTGGACTTGTGAAATTGGAAAATGTGCAGCAACTAAACTTTTTCTCTTATCGAAAATATCGCGACGGCGCTAGTCCGTAGTAAGACTAGGACTGGCCGGAGGATGCTGTCCCCTCAACTTGACCTAGTAAACCGTAATGTTTGAATGGTGTGCGATTCATGGATGATCTCAGACGCCGACCCAGCAGACTCGAGGCTATCTGTTGACTGTTCTCTCGCAGTCACCCGTTTTTTGGGGTCTATCACGTGACCTGAGCAGCCCCACTTGGTCCTGCGGCTAAGTCTAAGGCCCCAAACGACGGAGGAAGTCCTACAACCACAACAACCACCCCATCACCACCAACACCCAGCGACATCACAATACCCCCTTGTCAACTCTCAACAAACTTCAAGTCGAACCGCCGCTATCGCTGAGCATATTGAATGCTGAAGGGTTAGAGCTGAGCGGAGCTTTCCCGGCGTGGCCTGCTGTTGCGTGCCTGCGACGCTCCTCCGATCTTACCTTTGCCAACCCTGCGCCCACTCCACCCATCGAGAACCGACCAGAATTCTCACCCTCTTCAACGGGATCTCTTACTCGAGTCGAACATCGGATTCCACAATCGTCCACCGCTCGAAACGGGAGCCAGCGTATGTGACAAACATCTGCTCTCGAGCCTTCACTCTCTCACCTTTCACGGCCTCCAGCCAAGTCGTTGCTTTGTCCATAATCTCCGCATACATACAATAAAACATACTGTCGAGATACCCGGATCCTCGATCTACGCCCCGAAATGACTTCCAATTTTCCCCGAACTCCCGAGACTCCTTCACAGACATCTCCCGCTCACTCGAATCTTCCATCGAAGCCCGTCACCTCGCCAGCAGACACACATTCTATGCCAACGCCTGCTCGCAGCGTCAACGGCAGCATGTCAACCATCACCGTCGAGGGATTCGCCCCTGATGATTCTTCGCTGAAGCGTAAGCGTGATATCGGGGACCAAGGAAATCAAGAAACAAAGAAAGTCCAAGTAGAGGCATCAGAGAAAACCAAAGTCACCGTCGAGGATATATCTCAGAATGTCGGCTCTCTTTACCTTTTCTGCAAGACTCGTAAGGCTTCTTTCTTTACCAGATATTTCCCCACCTCTGGTTTAGTATTCCAGACCCCCAATCAACCCTGCACATTACTTTTTGAAGTACATGGTTAACATGGAGATGGCGTGCAGCACACGTCCCGCGTCTGCCATCGCTTTTGGATGATCTGTTTGAACGCTACGGCTTGAACGATGTTGCAAAGTCAGTTGCACGCATACACCCCGATGGATCGAAGGCAGTCAAGCTGCGTAAGACTTATAAGAATCATATCAAGGACCACGGCATCTTGGGCTCCTTTGATGCAATTAAGAATGAAGTTGGCGCACCCGGTACTCTAGGGGCTATGATGAAGTTGCCGGACGATGTATGGAACGCTGAATTTGTGCGGGGAAAGGAGATTGAGAAAGGCATACCCGAGTCGATGTTGGCCAAGGGTCACACGATCTTCACGATGTCAAGAGGTCCGATTCCAAAGGCTATGTGGAATCCTGCTATTCTTAATCTCGGGACTGGAGATTCCGTAGCTCCTGCGCAAGTCGAGAAGGCAAAGGCTGCTCAGAATGGTTCCCGCACCCCAGTTCCTCAGGCTCAGGCTCAGGCTATACGTCCGGTTCAAGGCAAGGCAAAGGGTGACCTCCGTCGTCCATCGCGAACTACCACCAAGCGTTCTTATGCAGATTCGAGCTTCGAGGGCTATGGTGAAGGCTACGTTGATGACGTACAAGATCCTGGCTATTCGACTGGTGATGGCGATGATCGAGGTGGTCGGAAGCGTGTGAAGAAGGTTTGAACTATTGCTACGCAGGTTGCAAGAGTTCGGGCTAACAAACACAAGAACACACAAAGTCATGGTGGTTACCAGCAAGGCGGTGCGATGCGTCAAAGCGGCTACGGTCCCGGAAGTAAGAAACCCAATACGGCTGCTCCCAACAAGAATTGTTCCTAGGCGTCTTCGACCTCGCATCCTGGTGCGCGTCGTTTTCGTATTCACTGGATGCTTTTCAAGCCCTGCTGCGCTCTGCTCGTTCCTCGATGCAAGCGGCCAGGCACCGAACGAACCTTTACTGACTCGACGATTCCTAGTGGTTGGAGCTTGACGTCGGTGAAAGACTCATGATCTCCTCTGTATGATAGAAATTTCGGCACCTCACCCCTCCGCAAGAAAGAAGCGCGAGGCTGTATACCTACTGTTGATTAGATCACATGCGTTCTCGTCACGACGCTCTGTCGTGGCACTCAGTAACTGCTCTCGGTGGCTCCTGGTCTTGGTGCTCCTGTCACCGTCAACAGAGATACTGGGGTTTGGGATGATAGAAAGGGATGGAGTGGAACCAAAACTCGAAGTCTCTCTGACTAACGAGAGCATGATGGCGGACTTACTCGATGCAGAAGTCGCCTCTAGCGTTTGCTTTTTTCGACATGATCTGCTCTGCTTTGTTCTGCCTTAGCGGGTGTTTAGGCTGGCGCAGCTGAGCTGATCATAGCATAATGTCTTCAATGCACATGGGCAATTTCATAAAATGACGTTTTCCGCTGTTTGTGAGATGACCAGCTCGCACCTGTCGTCATTCCGGTGGCCTTGATTGACTTCTTCGAAAATCGACCAATATCCCTTACAGCTTTTATAAATGCCAAGCCAAGCACGCAGAGAAGATCAGAGAGACATAATAGATGGTGTCAATCAATAAGCGGAAGCTTAGAGTAGCCATCCATCTCAGTCTCGGACAGGGTCCGAAAAATCAAATACCCAGAGTCTGTCTGTCATATTCCAACGATGCACCCGGAAGGTAATGGAAAAAAAAAGAAGAGATCAAAAACCCAAGTTATCATGATGAGATCCAGGTGCATCCTCATAAATCGGGAGAGAAATGGCCATGGGTGTAAATAGTTAAGGCTTCGTCCCTCTCTTCAATCAACACCTCTCTCATCCACTGTCAATTCTGCCCTACCTCGTGTCGCTGCTCATCAGGGATTTCCTTTTATTTGCATTTATCCTACTTCTTCTCCTGCCGTGGTGGCAGGTCACTTGGCTGCTTGTTGTTCAGTTGTGCTACGCCGAAACTATGCGGTTGTTACATAAGTTTTTGATTTTGACGAGGCACCTAGCCAGCGCTGCGCCAATAGAGAAAAGCGAGTCTTGTTACATGCAGTGTCGTCGATTCCGAGGCTGCCCGCTTGGTGTTTTGTTTCTCCTTCTTGGTCATTCTTTTTTTTTTTTTTTGGTTCTAGCTGTTTGTGTGTCGGATCTCTTCTGTAAATGGCTTATAATCCGCTTGTTGCTTCTTCTCTCTCTACCTTTTTTTTTTTTTCTCTCACAGTGTGTGTGATAAATCATCACTTTGCACTGACCCCAGACACATTTGTGCTGTTCAGCTAGACCAGACTGTAAATGGTTGTCGCGGGTGAGAGGGATGGGGTAGTTATGGTGACGGGAGATCCTTGGGATATCTCAAGCAAAGGAGAGCTGAATTCTCAGATCAATATTCTACGTTCCCAGCTCCTCGCCATCTACACTCCTTGGTTCCGCGCGAAACTCCAGCTGACATCTATACATACACACATACACACATACATACATACATAGGTACATGTACATCTCCAAGTATCCATCGCCCATTCAAAAACCCCTTTCGCTCTTACAGAAGAAGAAAAGGCTATACAAAGTCTGATGGCCAACCCCCCAACAGCGCAGCAGCAGCAGCAGCTTGTACCCACCCCCGCAGCAGCATCCACCCTCCTGGCGCTCCTCCTCCAACAACACCATCCCACAGCCCAACCCCCGATCCCCATCCGCACCCTCTACCCTTCCTCAACCCCCGCTGGGCGCCCCACCGCATCATCTCCACGCTCGAGTCGCTGCTCCTCACCGCACACAGCAGCAGCCCTGCGGCGTGCACGAGCGCCATGCTGTACCAGTGGGCTGCGTGGGAGGGGGATCCCGCCGCGCCGGCTATGGCGCCTGGGGAGCTGCTGGCGTGCGTGGTGCAGGGGACGAGGGTCGCGGGTGTCTACTTTGGGAAGAGGGGGGAGCTGGAGAGGAGGATGGGAAGAGGAGGGGAGGGGAATGCGGAAATAGTGGGAGGAGGGGGTCTGGGTATAGGTGTGGGTGTGGATACGGATATGGATGGAGTGAGGCTTGCGGAGGAATCTGTGCTAGCGCTGGAGGGGTTGAGGCGGGTTATGGTGGAGAGGTACCCGGAGGCTGAGAGGGGGTTGTGGGGATGGGTGGATGGATGGTGAAGCTGGCTTTTACAGTGATAGGGTAAAGGGGGGGGGTATGTTGCGGTGGTGTGAGCTGTAGATTGGCTGATGTGAGAGATTTGGGGACATTTGGTGGTGGGAGAGAACGTTCAAGGTCCTCTCCCGGGATCGAAACTTACATCTACAAACCGGCAACTCCTGCCTGGCATTTGAAGTCCAAACATACGGTACAGATATATAGAAACTAGTTTCCACGAGAGCGTTGCTCTGAGACTTATACGATACTTCCAAATTCCCTATTCTGGCCAGTTCATCCTCGCCGGTCCACGCAATCCCAGAGGTAGAGAAGTAATAGACACGCTTCGTCCGTAGAAAGGTGAGAGCCTGTATTAGACATAGTTTCTTTCTTTCCCGCGCATTTGTTATGAGAAGCTTTGAACTTTGAATTCCTCGTCGCGCGGAAGCCGTGAATGTGATACGTCGCTGGTTTCGGTACTGCACGCGTATATATAGATGCCGAGTCTGATAAATAAACAAGGATGCTCGTCCCTAATATGCATCCTTATCCTTTCGGAACAGGCTGTTGTTATTTTGATGCGCGACTGACAATCTCTGGCACATTCCTTTTCTCGCTCTGATACTTTACCAAATTTAGACTCTCCGTCTCGAGCTTTCATATCGTTGTATCCGCGAGACTCGAAGTGCCGTCTTGATATTTATATCTGAGTCTCGCCTAGCACTTCCGTGCGGGAGAATACCTGCGTGTCGTGGAAATTTAACCAACTTACACATATGCTTTACGCCCTCTGGCGCTGAAAGGGAATCAATGTGCTATCGCGGGGGTTATTCTGTGTATTTAACTACATGCATGTTACTCACACTTTCCAATCTAATACTCCTCTATCCCAAGATACATAGACGTGGGCAACGCTCGTTCATTTGTCTTGGGGCGCGAGAATAAAGGTCTCTAGAATCATTCGATCTTATTTATTCGATCATATCGGAGAGCAAGAACCTCTGATACGACGACTTCGTCATGTGCCGCTTCTGCAGCTTCACGGAGATTGAGGATAGCGGAGGGTGCCTCTTCAAAGCTACCGACGATAGTGCCGATAGAGAGTGAAGAGAGTGAAGAGAGTGAAGAGAGTGAAGAGAGTGAAGAGAGTGAAGAGAGTGAAGAGAGTGAAGAGAGTGAAGAGAGTGAAGAGAGCGACAACAACGAAGAGGGCGACGATAGAGACGACAGCAAAGAAAGCGAAGAAATGAAAGAGGGTAGTGGCTACACCCACCCAACCACCCACCACCTTGCTCAACAACTTCCTCTCTGCCGTCCACTCCATCACGAAAGAAGACTACCTCCCTTACTACAAACACAACTTACATCCACGCCAGCTGCTCCCGGTTCTCGAGTTCTTCTCCCGCCTACCTCGCCAGGAGTCAGAGGAGACCATCTTAGCTTGGCTATCCTAATCGGTGTCGGGCCGACGAAGCCGGAAAGGGCTGAAAAGCAGCTCGACATCGTTCTCCAGAGTGGTGTCGAGTTGGTACTTCACAAAGCTGTCCAGGCTGTGACGCGCAAGATCATTGAGCTAGATGTTGACTCTGATCCTGGTGATGTCCACCGCGGCTCCAGAGCTGGCCGGAGTAGCAAGAGGACTCCGCCGGAAGTGGCTATGGCAGTGGCTGTGGCGGGGTGGGACGCGGGAGATCGCCGTCCCCGTGTTTTTGAGATGGCTTGATGGGTCTGATCTACAGGTTCATAGTGGAGCACGCAATCCACTCGCGGAGAAAGATATTGATGGGTCGATATCCAGGGATGAAGGGAAGGAAGAAGAAGGCGATGATGCATCCTGAGCTGGACTTGCCGGGGGAGGAGGAGATGGGCAGACGGAAGTCATTCATATTCTCTGAATGAAAGAGGAGATATCGCAGGGCTCTTTGAAGTAATAAATGCGTTCTCTTTTAGCCGTTGCTTTGCGATGTCCACATCATTTTGTAAGCTCGCCTGGGTCTACGGATCCAGGTGAAGTTTCTGGAAACACTGCTCTGTGAGGGTTTCTGATTTGATAAAAAACCGTGATACCACGAAAGAAAGCTACATCATTGCAATGTGGCAGCTTTTGGCAAGTGTTGAAGATGTTGACATACACAGTGACACCCCCCAAATTAAGCGAGCTCCGACTCAATTTCTTCGATTCGGTTTAACTGCTGTCCTTATATTAGACGACATGTAATTTTGATAACTGCTATATAGGTTGTGTAGCGACAAAGTCGGTATGAGATTGAAACCCCTTCATCTACCTCAAATCTTGGAGAGAGAGAGATACATGGCCTCCACACACTCGAACGCAATACTCGTACGACCATCATATCTGTCCCTATGCGTGGATCTTTTCCGACTGACGATAGAGATCGCAACGCTTTAGAAAGAATTGGCTCGGCGTAATCAGATTCTGTTTAGTACGTCTAAGATGATCCCTGATATGGGGACATGTACCAGTGGCCTTATACGTAGTACTTTTTATGAGCCCTTATCTGCCTTACCTAATACCCGAAGATCACTCTCGGCGCCAATTTCTCAGAGTTGTTCTTTTTCCTACAGTAGCTGATCATACGGTAATTAAAGCTGCAGTACTGGAGTTTGACAAGCGGAATCGAATCTTCTATTGAATTCTATTTCTTTTTCCAGAACTCTTGGCTAGGACAATCGTCTGTGCAGCGGTCTTGGCCTCCAGAACCATGCTTTCAGCGGCCTTTTTGCTCCAGTTCCTCCCCGAATCAGGCTCCTCTGGTTGGCTGTAATCGGATGAGGATTCTTACTGTAACAGGGCTCTAACCAAGCAGCTTGAATGTACCTATTCGGCCTTACGTAGTGAGGGCTCACATGGTTGTTTATGACATCAGGGCAGCTTGTTTTGACTTGGCAAACATAGAACATGCGGATTCCTGGCTGTCAAGAATTGCAGCATCCTGGACCTCCGTCGATGATACGAGCTGCTCAAAAAGTCGAGAAATCGTTGAGGTAAACATCTTCTGATTATTGATGAGTAGTGCCTTTGGCACTTGGAGGAAATAGCGAGTAAATGTAGACCTATCGGCTCAAAAATAAAATGCTCCGAGAAACTCCGTACAATGTGCACAACGCTGGAACGCCTGGGTTTAATTGCAGCAGCCAGAATCCCGAACCTCAACGCAAAGATAATTGTATCTGATCCCCGAAGTCGAATCGGTAGACACTGGGGCCAGCCAACTACTTAATCAAGGCAGCAAGTCAAGCAATCGAAGCAAGCTTCGCAAGTCTCCGCGCACAGCCAACAACAACACAAGGTAGCCAAACTGCGTCAATTGTCAGTCAAGTTCGACACATGGAGAAAACGGCGAGGACGTACCAGCTGAAACAACATCCGCGGTCCTTGCTGCCGCCGCGAGAATCGTTAGGCGGAGGGGCTTGTTGGTACATCTATCGCTCAAACATCAGTACATAGACCTGGTAGGCGTCAATCTCGAACCTACAGGTTGTTGCTGCTGAGGAGGGTAGCCGTATCCTTGGGGAGGACCTCCCTGGGGAGGGCCGTATTGTGGGCCGTACTGTTGGCCGTACTGCTGGCCGTACTGATCGTTGGGAGGAGGATATTGAGACATGTTGATACTGGAGGGAAGTGTGGCTAGCAAAGTGTGGCTTTTGATGGTGACGAGACGGCAAGTGTTTCGTAAGATGGACAGGAGGCGATGTCACTGCTTTTAATTGTTTCGAGATTTGATGCCAAGCAGCTTTCTGCCGGGAGTCCCGAGAGGGGGACTAGCGTGCCGCTTAGTGGGGTGCTTGTAATTACGTAGCTGGGCAGAGGTGCCAAGAGTGGCTCGGGATGTCTCGAAATAGAATGTGTAGCGTGAGGACTGTGGCCAAGAGTTCGTGTTGTGATTTGGACAATTCACTTGGTAGGTCCTTCAGTGGGTACAGTACTTGTACTATCCTGGCTTGTCATAAATTTCGCCAGAGTCCCAAAGTAAACAAATATGACTTGAATACTAACCAAATTTCGATTTGCTGTTCCAAGTTGAATGTATCGATTCACCTTGAAACTATGATCATAGGCCATATAAAAAAACAAAAAGAAGGCTATGCGCACACCGTCTGGGAGACGCCAGCCTTATGGTGGCATAAATATAAGAAAATTATACGCATCACAAAGACCTCAAACATTTTGATATAAGCTCACCCGAATCTTCATAGGACTCCATTGTTCTCCGTCTGATCATTCGATCTGATCAAGAGCTAGGAAGCAACTAGAATTGTCCAGCAGCGAATCAGCGAGTTCCTTCGCCGGAAAGCTGTTGATAGGGAACTCGAACCCTTCATCCGACAGGATGCACAATCTTTATGGAAGAAGCATGATAGAATCAATCATCTCAACCGTCTGCACCCAGACAAGCTCATAGATTTTGAGGACCCGCCTATTGATCCAGAATTTGCCAAAAGATGGATTGGAGAGTTGAAGAGTCGGGGTAATTTCAATTCCAAAGTCGAATTCCGGGACCAGAAGCAGGAACATATCGAGTCTTGAACCAAAGCACTAGAACAAGATAGAAGCTTCCCCTTATCGATTCTGGAAATTTGTAAGTGGTGAACGAAGGTCCTTGTTATCTCTCGGGAGGGAGGTGGTCCCCTTTGACTTGATTCTGGACAACATCTGAACTTTTCAATTCCACTTCGGAATCATCGAATTCCCAACAAATTTCTTCACACTTGACTAGACAAAATCACCGACCATCAACATGCCAATCCCGGAAGATAAAACTCGAGGCTGAGGAGGAGGAGAAGGAGGAGGAGGCCGGAACTCTTCACCATGGTCGGGCAGCAGGTCTGGTATGTATGTGATCTCCTATCCCGTCCCATGGTTCCGGATGTATGTCTCTGAGTAAAACTTTCTTCCACAATACTCTCAATGCATGGAACGCCTTCGCTGACCTGATTTTCTCTCCAGATCTCTGGGCTTTGAATATTTCATGAGTTGCACCGTGATCAACTAAACCTGGGAGCCCAATGACTGGATCGCCCATCCGCCAGAAGAGTTCTCCCTAAGTTACATCATGTATGATCTTGGAGTTCCCGAACTCATGGCTACACTGGCACTTCAGGAAGGCGATATCTCTGGGGGGAAGCTCGCACAATCCAAGTTCTTACTCAGGCCCCATCACTTTACTAAGGAAGCCCAGAGTGTACAGAATCTGCTCTGGAACGTTTGTGAGGGGATAAATCTCGTCATCGAAGTAATGGTCAAGCATGTCGGAGTTGCAGAGATCAACACATATCGTAAGTTACATAGAGCGGGCTCCTTTGAACTTACTTCCTATCCAGTCTCCACTTTTAGATCTCCGTGGATCTTTAGAAGTCTGGGACCCGGTGTCTGAGTACAGAGACTGATGCTACATTTGAGGAAGTGGGACGAGGAGGAGTTGATCATCAGACTTGGCAAGGAGATTCGAGCAGATCATTGAAATAGAGAAGTGTGGCATAATTGAGCCAGAATTGCGCCAGAGACAAATTCACACACGGAGATGCCAGGCTACGACGCCTCGTTGTTAAGGATCCAGGCTTCGAGATGTTCTTTAGCCAGCCCATCGAGCTACCGAGAATATTCCCAGTGAACTCCGAGCCAAATCGTCCCGATACACCGTCTCCTCTAACAAGATCAACAAGGCTTTTGGAGATTGGAGATTGGAGACCTGAGTTCGATGATTTGAATGAGCCGGATTGGAGTGCTAAGTGCCAGACATTGATCAACATATGCTTAACAGGGCGCATCTATGTGGTACATGATAGACAGTAAGGCAACTGAAGAGCAAATCATCACGTTGACAACCAACCAACCAACCAACCAACCAACCCAAGAAAAAAAAAAAAAAAAATTTAAAACGAAAAAAATTAAACATAAAAAAAACGCTGTCTACACCACCGGACGATTCAAGACACTGGCAGTCGCCTGTGGCGCAATAGAAAATTGCGCCGAAGAAGAAATAAATTTTGACGTCTCGGAAGAGGGAGCACAGCAGAGGTCACTGGACTGATTGGACAAGTCTAGCGGACGCCTGAACTGGACAGTCAATCTGGTTACACCTGCAAATGCTCGGAATACTGGGCATAGCAGGAGCTTTTTGAAGAGTAAGACTTGAAAACATCAATCCAGTAACGGAGGAGGAACAGCGACAAGCGCTGGGTCAAATTTTTTTCGAATTGAATTTCATGGGAACCGATGATTATGTCGATGATAGTAGTAACTCGTTTGTCAGTTGTGTATTGTAAAGCTAGGAAAAGGATAGAATAGCAAGACAAGAGGATAGCAGATTAAAATACATGTCAAGCATACCAAATGAAAGTGATGAAAACATATGATTAGGAAATATGACTAGTGAACATGGCTAGTAAATATGACTAGTAAGTATGACTAGTAAGTATGACTAGTAAGTATGACTAGTAAGTATGACTAGTAAGTATGACTAGTAAGTATGACTAGTAAATATGACTAGTAAATATGAATAGTAAATATGACTAGTAAATATAATCATGCACATGCATATAATAAACCTTGTGGGAATGTAGGCACCAGATGCCTTGGCACCAGCATATACTACTAGCTCCTCAGCTAGAATAGCTGACTCAGACGAAAGGGGGCTAACAAAAGCAACTGGTCTGATTCAAAACGGAAAATATGGACAAAAGCCGCCTCAATCTCACGCTAGCAATCCTTCTCCGAAATTAAGAATCGATCTGCTCAAGCCTCATCGCACAGATCTTCCATATCTCCACTTGGAAACTTACCACCTTCAATCCATACTACAAACGCTGAAGGGGAGAGCGAAGCCGAAGTTTTGAAAGCTGGCGTAGAGCACCCTTCTCCTTCAGTTAAAAATACCGCCAATAACCTTTCGGACCAGCTAGCAGAGGAAGAGGATAGTTTACTTGAAGAGAGAAGACTTTTCCAAACGCAGCCAAACGAGAAGACGAGAACTGAGAGTTGGATTTTTTCAAACACGCAAGCACTTAGATTAGTTTTTTCCTTTTTTAGTCAGGTCTTTCGGCCTTTGCTGTTTTTTCCCCGTATGACTCTCATGTTTCTTTCTTCTTCGGACCCACCTTCAGTGGGAGCCTTATTCATCAACTTCAGTGGGAGTCTTTTCATCTGAATAAGTCTTGAGTAAGAGTGTCGGATGTGATCAAGTGATAGACCTATCACGTGTCAAGACCTCTCCAGATGTATAAGTAGAGGGCTACTTCCCGAGTTCATCAGAGAATAATCAAGAATCACTCTACTCATCTTTGTATCCCCGTGTTACCGTTGAACAGATACCACCCTATATTCGTACTTCTCAGTCGATGCCTGTGATACCGACAAACCTTATGGGGTTTTCCTATAGGGAGAGGCCAGATTTTTGCGTCCCGCATGGGTTTCCCCGTGGGGAGGAGCCAAAAGCCAAATCCCCGCGATAGTGAATACCGGTATACCGGTAGGTCTGCGAATAGGCACGAAGGTTCATTACTTTCAGAAAATATCTACTCGGTCCTGTCCCAAGAGAATAGCTTCTACAACAAGAGGTTGCATAGCCGCGATCTATCACAATGTCAACACCGACTTTAGACGATAATATCAAAGCATGACTCGACGTAATATTGCCTGAATACTATCCTAAAACACTTGTAAATAGCGAGAAAATCTCCTCGATCTTCAGCGTTGTCACCGTTTCCATGATAAGCTACGCTCAGTTGCTTAACTATAAACCGAATTCCATTAAAAAGTCTGTCGTGCGGTGTAAGTTTATGATACTGGAACTGCGATGTGCATTGCAGGTCTGCTTTTGCGCAACAAAGTCTCTAGCCTTAGTGAAGATCTACCGGTAGCAGGTCAAGGACTTTACCCAAACCGCTTTACATTACTTAAGAGATGTGCCAATCTTCTGAGCTTATTTCGAAGGAAGTCTGGATACCTTGATCGGGATATCGAGAGGTGTTTGAAAACTCTATTGCCAAAAGCGGCTCCTTTGACCTAAGAGGGAAAATTCTTCTTAATACTACTATAATGTTGAGCTAAATGTGGATCCCGAAAACTGTTGAAAATGCGGTCACTTGACCTAACGGTCGTGACCTTAAGTGTATGCATCCATTTGGGCTTAAGCCGTCGAGGAACACCAAAAACTTAACTAATCGCTTACTAGTAAGAAGATAAAAATGAATCTTGCGGGTTTTAAAACTAGAATTGCCCTCTTGCTATTGAAATCCACCTTTTGCAGTTAAGAACTACGATTATAAACTCTTCTCCTTGCGAATACTTGATTTAAGAGCTAATCAATAATGAAAAAAGAAATGCTCGAAAAAGTGCTTGCTGCATCGCTTTAAAAGGGGCTATTGCTATAAATTAAAATCCCGAAAAATAGCTACATGCACCGGGCTGAAAAAAAGCTGATGCTATAGATTAAACGCTTGGGAGATAGCTGGATGCATCGCGCTAAAAGAAGCTATGATTACGAGTTAAATGCTCGAGGAATAGCTAGCAATATCGTGCTAAAAGAAGCCATTATTATGTAGTAGATTATATGTAGTAGCTACGAATATTACACCGGGAAGTCCGGAAAACCTGTCCCGGAACTTGCGGATGGCCGTAAGTTTAGCTTGCGGCCGGGCTGAAGCGTTACATTTTCTTTACATCTTTTACAAGTAGTAGGTAGTGGTAGTACATTCTTTTAAAGCCTATTTCTTAGCCGTAGTAATTCAGGAGAGAGATGGAACGCTAGCCGTTTAGCGTACTTGGCAAACAGGGGGGGATCAATAGTTACGCCGATCCGGGTACAACGACATGCGTTCCCTTTCATTGAATTGTTTTCTTCGCGACTATAATTTTGCTATAAATACTATTTATTTTCAATTAATCATACAGCAAGAAAATATTACTAGAGAATATAGCATAATCCGTAAGTATCGTATCATTGAGCAAGCTTAAATAGGAAATACGATTAACTTTTTTTAAATGTTTCTTGCAATCGCAACGGCAATTCCGAACTCTTCGATCTATACCTTTCGCTTATATACTCTTTTTAGCGTCATTCTATCGTTTGCGAGTAGCAAGGCGGTCTCGTTTCGAGTAAGCGGGCAAAGAGATTACTCGAGCGATCTTATGAAAATAAAGAAATAGTATTACGTCGACCTTACGCTCCTTAAGTCTACATAGGTACTTTCGGGCATATAATAAGAAGACGAAGTGTATAAGCTGCAATAGGATTGTTATAGGCGTCTTTTCTAGCTTGATAATGCGCTAATATTTTAGGCTCCTTCCCAGGCCGTGGTCGAGGAGCATGCTCCTTATATAAAAAAGCATTTAGAGTATTTAATAAATGAGATTCTTGAAGAAGTATTTCAAGGCCGAATTTTCGTTTAGCAACCATAATTTCAAAGACTTATATTGACGTTAACAGATGCAAATAGCAAGTTCAAAGTATTCAGAGCACATATATGATATCACGCTAAAGGACACTTAGGATTTTGATATGCGGCCGCCTTTCGGAGCGGCGTAACTATTGATCCCCCCTGTTTGCCAAGTACGCTAAACGGCTAGCGTTCCATCTCTCTCCTGAATAACTAATAGTCAGTGCACTGACTTTGTGACCTGCGGGCTCTCGGTCACAGTCAAGGCAAGCAAGTGTCCTAGGTCAAGCAAGTGTCCCATTTCAATTATTTCAATTTATATTGAAATAACTTAGCAACGAATATTGCTATAATATTCAAAACTAGATGCATAGATCGGCGTAATCGAGATCTTTAAAAGTCTAACCAAGTATAAAATCTTTTTATTAACAATTTAATAATTAATAAAATAAATAATGTTTGATTATCGATTGAATTTGATTGAAAATTAAATATTTTGTATTGAAAATTTTATATTTTTTGATATTAATCGGCTTGCAAATTGAAATTTCATATAAAAATTTGATATTTAAGAAACTTTGAATCAAGCGGACTCGTACCATTTGATATTTTTATTATAACTTTTATAATTATTATCTTATTTAAGTTATAAATATAATCGAAAAGTTGATGTTCTTGAATTTTCGCTAAATTGTCCGAGCTTTTTTCGCTGTTACAATTGTAATTGTGCGTAATAAATATCATTTTACTTATTGTAATAATAAAAATATATAATGTATTTTATAAATAAAGTATAATTCACTTATATCGACTCGCATATTTAATTTTTATTGCTATAGCTTTTTTTGTTATGACTTATTCTTAATACAAATCGCGATTTTCGATTCTTTTCGTTAAAGAATCCCCCAAAAATTTTTTTACGATTTGCAACTTGATTTTCTTGATAATAAAAAGAGCTATATTGATAAAATTTGAATGCATTAATCGGCGGAATCGAGCTCTTTAAGAGTATCAAGTTTTTAATATTATAGCTTTATTCGTTATTAATTTATTTCTAAAACAAGTTGAAATAATTGAAATGGGACATTTGCTTGACCTGGGACACTTGCTTGCCTTGATTATGACCGAGAGCCCGCAGGTCACAAAGTCAGTGCACTGACTATTACGGTATAGAAAATCGATAAAGCATTAATGCGGAAAGCAGCCTCGTACTACGACCGGGCTAAGCAAGGTTCCCCAACCCCGGAGCTTGCGGAGGGCCGCCAGGGATCAGACTTACTGCTGGACGCATCTATTTAAGCTTGGGCCATCGAAGAACATTGAAAACTTGAACTAATCGCTTACTAGTAAGAGAAAAGGGAATCTTGCGAATTTACGTAGTAATAAGCTAGATTTGCATTTTTGCAATCGAAATCCACCTTTTGCTATCTTACGATTATAAACTCTTGTCGAATACTTGATTAGTAGCTAATGACTAATAGCTACTTGATAATGAAAAGAGGAATGCTCGAAAAACAGCTCACTGCATCGCTTTAGAAGAGGTTACTGCTACAGATTAAATGATCGAAGGATAGCTAGCTGCTTCGATCTAAATGGAGCTAATGCTGTAGATTGAACGCTTAAAAGATACCGCATCCTCTGGTTTGAACGAGACCTTGGCAAGCGGTGCGCGATAAGGTCAGCAAAATGAAGAAGCGAGAAAAAAGATGACTTAGCGAGCAGCACCCAACGTCGAGAAAATTGTGAAGGTTAAGAATTGAGCGGATTTGAGTATTTCCGTTCCCGTTCTGATTTTATTTTAGTTTTAATTTAATAATCGTATTTAAAAATCAATTGCAATTAAATCTATACTTTCTATCGCTTGCGATTCATCTCTATATTCAATTCCATCTTTTTATACATATATATATATATATATATATACAATCTCTTTTGCAAGTGCTTCGTGCTTTTTTATATGCAATTTTTGCTCTTTTGCCAGCCTCTTTTCCTAAACCTTATTATCGTTTTCGCTCTTTCTACGAGCTTTATCAAACGATTTTAGCATATTGATTAATTCGGCGTTCTTCTTCGTCGAAAAGCTTCTAATGATGCGCTCTTTTATTAGGATTATATCAGTAGCAGAGTATGCTCGGGGGCTTGGCGGGCTTGGCTCGGTCACATGTATGATACTGACCACATTTGTTAAGGATCCCTTGGAGTTCATGAGTTTAGAAGGCTAGAGTTCAGTCTGAATACCAACGGAGCATCATCGGAGCCTCGAATAGTGATTCCCTATTGTTGGTTACACAATAGGGTGCACACGTGAGACTCGGTACGAATGGCAAGTGGTTGCATTCGTGGTGTTGTTAAGTCTTTGAAGGAAGAAGCTATTCTAGCTGCGAAGTGCAGTTACATGTAGTTGAGTGCATAGGTGCACGGGCCATTATATGGTTGCTATAGCAAAGGTGCACGTGCCAAGCACGGGCCACCCTTATCCTCGATCGAGTCTTTAACTCCGATCCCCTCATTCCCACACTCGCAATTTTCTCTTTTGTAATTGCAGTAGTTGCAATTGCAATTGCAATTCTAATACAAATAAAAATAGCTCTTTCATTCTTAACGTTGTCGGTAAAAAATACTATCACCGTTCCTTCTAAATTCGGCCTGACCTTCCTATGCTCTTTCTACCCACCCTTCGACACGTACGTTGGCCTTGTTCGTATTAATAAAGGTCGCTAACGATTTATTTAAGTTGATTTTCGTTATAGAGTCGGCTAAATTATCCTTTCTTTCAATCCATCTGACTTCTGCAAGCTCTCGGCGCTCGTATGATTGCTTAAGGGCTATAATGTCGATTATTAAGCGCTTCTCCTTAGTGGTTCCGAGCTTAACAAAGCATTCGTAAAGAGAATATAAGTCGGTATAGACGACTATAAGGACCTCGGGGACTTCTAGCTTGTTAGTAATTATTTTGAAGGTGGTAGCTACGCAAATAGCAATATCTACACCGGAGACCATGCTATAGATTTCCGAAGCAAGTATTAAGCGTGTTACTCGCTTGCATTTTATAGAATTAACAGCGATGAGGTTCTTTTGGATAAGGAAGGAGCTATTAAACTTCTCTTCGGTTGCTAAGATGATTAGAAAACTAATTTGTGAACTGCAGTCCTTATTGTTAGCAAAACTCTCGTTTACAAATACGAATAGCTTCGCTAAACGTAAGTCGATGTTAAGGTATATTAAGCTTCGTTACTGGTTTTCTATTATTTATACAATTCTCTTGTTTAAGAAAGTGATGTCGTCCAAAGTGAAGTCCTTTTGCTAGATCTGCGCGGCGGTAGATAAGTCGAAAATAGCTTCGGGCTGATACAAGCTTGCAATATAAGCTGCACGTGCTCGCTATTCCAAGTAGTTGTTTCCATTTTCGGTAACTAGCTCTAGCTTCTTTCCTTAGTCCTTCTGCTTAAGTAGAATCGAGCTATTAGCGAGCTTCTTCAGTGTTCCTTTATTGAATATCACTTCGTTTTCTACTATAAGCGTCTCTTTTGGCTTAGCGTTAAAATCAGCTTTCTCAAGCTTTTGCTCTTCTAAGTCATTAAACTCTTTGTCAGCTACTATTAGTGTATCGTTTGTTTGCATTTTAATGATAGCGAATTTGCTAATTGTAGAGATTAACAAACAAGGGTCGTATATAAAGGAGACTATGAATAGCTTATCTTTATAGTATCTATAATAAGTGTTCTATTAATAGGTACTTGCCTCCGCAATCTCGTATAGAGGTCTACGAATTAGTAAGATGTAGCCCGAGGGGTATAAGTATTAGAAGTCCTTGGGCAAATACGCTAAGATCATACGCTCGAAGTAGCGCTAGCTCGATACGTAGGCTTAAGTAATATCCCGCAAAGAAATTGTTGCTTGATTAAAGGATTCTAAGAATAAGGCTAAGGAAATTATTAAACGCTGGCTATTGCGCTGAATAGTCGAGGATTGAGTGAGAATATCATACTTGCTTTCGTCGCCCTAAGCTTGAATAACAAAGCGTGATTTTTCGTATAGTTCGAAAGTATTTTTGCTTTTGACCTCATCGACTATTCGAGAGTTGAATATGCGGCTTGTTCCGTGGACCGCAAGGTTGTATTTTATAACTTTAAATACCTCCTTTTCTATTAGGCCTTTTAGCTCTTGGAAGCGTGATTCCACGAATTGCTCGCCGAGCGTAGTGATAACTTCTTCGTTTTTAAGCTTCGTAGAGAGCGCAATATCAGCTTTTTCTTTATGAGTAAAGAATATTATAATAACATCACTCTCGTGATTAAGAAATTGCTCGTCAAAATCTTTGAACTCTTTTATACTTGCAAAAAGGTGACGAGGGCTATAGCGAACTGCTAAACTGCCTTTCGGTTTGCGCAAGCGTGATCTAATCTTAGTAGCTAGAGTAGTAGGTTGTTTTATAAGCTAGACCGGTGGTAGTTCAGCTTCAATTGACCGGTTCGGTAGCAAGGATTCTTCGAGGTTTAGCGTATTTGAAGGTGTTTTATAATACGGTTTGACAACTACTGAACGGAATTCGCTAATTCGGTCGTTTACGAGTACTTTGCAAGTCTCGTTTTTACGTGCAATTAGCTTATGCGGTCCGGTCCATTCGCCTTTGCCTAGTTTACCTTTTACCTTTTTATAGACTTTGACGTTTGATTATAAAAGGAAGTTAAAGGTTTCCAAGGTATTTAGTCCATTTCGCATTGCTAAGGCGTCCTTGACTTTTCTCTTAGCTTGTAGTCGACGAATCTCCTTGGTTGCAGCTCGAAGGGCTTTTCGTCTCTTTGTTATAAACAGTGCTAAAGAATCTATCTTAGAAAAGCGTAAGTATGCGCCGTATACGAGCAATGTAAGGACAATACTTCCGGGGCCGGCTGTATCGTTGATAGCTTTAAAAGCTATTTAGAGTACTATGTGTTTATCAACTCTTTCACTTGCTAGTTCCTCTTTCAGAATATTGTATATTCTTCGGAAAGAGCTATAATAGCGTTTTACTTTTCCGACGCTATTATAAGCTTCGACTAAGACTACCTTGATCTTAATATTTATCGAATTTGCTTATTGTTTGAACTCTTAAGAGCTCAAGTTGGTTTTAGCGTCTATTACGATTACATCTAAAGGGCTTAAGTATATATCGATCTAATAGTAACGTATTGTATCTCATACGTGTTTTGCAGTCATATTCTTAAGGAATCCTTTAGAACCGTAGCTTGTAGCTGAATCTACGATATGTAATACGGGGTCTTCGTTAATATACATAATGTCAATAATAATCGAATAATTGAATTCATACTCATCTTTTAAAGAGATTTTGAATCTGCGAAAGGCTTGCTTATATAGTTGACACTGCGCATAGTATTTAGTAATCTTTTCGAAGATGTCGGTTTTAAACTCTTTACCGGCAGTCTTAAAGGTGGTAGCAAAACGCTATACTAAAGGGTGTCTTTAGCGGCGATGAATTTGACGCAATTCTCTTTCGATAAGGTAGCATGTAATAGTTTCTTGCTGATTAAGCAATAAGAATGAGTAGCCTTATTTTCTAACAACTAGCACGCTGTTATGGCTTTGCATAAGCAGGTTTCTTAGATTATTAAAATACACGCTAAGAGAATCTATGTCTTTCAAACAGATTAAGAAAAAGGTGTTAATATTGACTATATGAAAAACAATCTTGCTAATTAGTGTTTATACTTTTACGGTTCTTTTAATAGTAGCCGAGGTTTCGCCGAAGCTGATAGTACTTCCTTAAGTAATAATCACTTGTAATTCAAGCAAGTGGTGCTAAAGAGCTCTCACTTGTGCTTCTCTTGCAAAAGACTTACTTGCAGCTCCCGAATCGGGAAGGAAGCCTTGGAATCGGTAAGCTGAATACCGGGAGTGTGAAATGTAGGTCTTTAGTGGAACGGTCTTATCTTCTTTAATTAAAAGGTTCATAGCGTCCAAAGTGGTGAAAGCGTAGTAAGCTAAGCGTTCTTGTAAAATTGCAATAGTCTCGGCGCTTATCATTTCTCTAGCCTCGGTGAGAAAGGTCTAAGTGAAGTAGTTGCGGTCACCGTGATCGTATTCGTCGTATTAATAGTTTTTAATAGCGTATGTTGCTTGATCTTGGTGATTTTCTTCGTTTGCAATACCTTCTACTTCTTCGTAGTCCGCCAAGAAGCTTGCAAAATAAGCCAAGGTCATTGGTTGAGTGGTATAGTACGTAGCGCCTTTCTTGTATTCGTCGTAAAAGCGTTTTCGTTCTTCGAGGGAGTGTTTTGTAGACCAGCAGTCGGGTTTGCCGCAGATGAAGCATACTTTAAGCTTTCTACCTTCGCAGAAGCCTCTATTCCTTTCTCTACGTGCAAAACCTCTGTTCCTACCTTTGCCTCTACTACCGCGATTATAGCCTTTTAAGCTACGGTTATAGCTCCTACTTGATCCTTTATAGTTTCGATCGGTGTAGTAGGTCTCGTGATTGCAATTAGTATCGCAATTATGATCGTTAAAAGCATAGTACATAGTAAGAGGGGCTGTGTATTCGAGTACTTGGCGTTCTCTTTGAATAGTACCGATTGCTGATCGTAATTGAGTAGCAACTCTTTTGTATGTATTAGCTGGATTGAATATTGCTAGTCTGCATTCTTCGACTCTATTGCAAGCGCTAATAAGTTGATCGCGCAATACGTTATCGATCTAGTATTCGAGTGTAAAGCCTTGCTGACAGCTCTTTAGAAGCTTTATCGTAATCTTTAAGCACTTTAGTCGGGTCTTCTCGATGTTCTTTTTGTCTGCAATAACATTAGCGAATGTAGTAGTTCTCTACAAGCTTATGTAGTGCTTTCGGTTCTTATCGGTTTCGAAGTGTTAGGCTATAAGGTGTATCATGGCTTCGAAAGAGTAGCTTCTGCTAGCTATTTGATCGATATAGTAAGCGTCTGCTGCTCCGGTAAGCATGACAGGGAAAGCTTTAGCGTATAAAGTAGAAAGGATGTCGTATGTTTCGCACAAGCTATAGAACTTCTTCAGCTTTACGAAGAGTATATCTTACATTCTTCTATTATATTTAAGCTCCTTCTTATGTCCATACATCTTATTGAGTCCGCTAATTAACTGCGCTAGGCTTGATCTTTAGCCTTCTCTAGCTGATTGGTCAGGGTCTCTTCCATTACCACCTCTACCTCCTCTTCCTTTACCACCTCCTCCTCTACCTCCTCCTCTACCTCCTCCTCCACCTCCTCCTCTACCGCCTTCTCCACCTCCTCTGTAATTATCTCTGCGGTAAGAGTCCTCCGTATAGTTGCTTCCACTATCATCACCTCCGCCTCCCTTATTTGCTCTTCGTCCTTAAGGTTCGCGGTGTTCGAAAGGTGGTACGTAAGGTTGTCTATGAACCATTGGGTTGGGTGAAGGTCGAGACAAGATCGAGTGAATCGGTGGTAAGGGTTATAGTCGAGGGTCAAAGGGTAGTCGAGGGTCAAGGGTGAACTCTTATTGTCTTTGCTATTGATAGGGTTGCTTATCGAATGGTATATCGAATTGTATATCATTCGAAGGTGGGGGTGGAGGTCGATACAGTTGAGGGTGTATCGGTAGAAAGGGTAGTCGTGTAGGTTGCATCGGTGTAAGAGGTGTGAGAGGTAAAAGTGAAGGTGGGGGTTTGACGGCAAGTCTATATGTCATTAAACTAAGTCGCTTTTCTCGTCTTGCCTCTTCGTAAAGTAGAAATACGAGAAATGTCGATCTGTGAAGTAGTTTAGCAAAGGCTAAAGCATAGCTTACACTACTTCTTAGATCTTTCATCTATACGTAGTAAACGAAGAAGTGATTGTATAAGTATCTTAAGATTGTGATGTGACTTAGCTTGAACAATAGTTTAGTCCATCCTTCGAAGAAGCTCTAGTATGTCTCTTACAAATTGTCACTTGTAGCGTAGCGATAATCATCTTTGAATATATCGAAGGCTCGGATGATATACGAGTGAACGCAACCTTAAGTCCATTTGGTCTTATCAGTAGGGTCGAAATCATCAGCTTCTTATACCTCTCGGTCGACTTTGAATTTGCCTCGGAAAGTCCATTCGAGTTCCTCGAAGCTACCTGCTAGAGGCCGAACAGATTTCTCTAAGAGGGGGGAGGGAAGGTCTTCGAATTCGTAAAGGGGGGGGTTTCTGTTTCTGTCATCCGCCATATTAGCGGCGGTGGTTGCGTGATAAGGTGGTTGCGTGATAGACGCTACAACTAGTGATAGTACTGCCAATTGTATTAGGTTTCCGCTAGACTTGTTAAAAACTAACGGTTGCTTATAGCGTAGTTAATACCTTTAAGAGGGCAAAAACTACCTCTTCTTTTCTATACCTAGCTCATCTATAGTTAAGTGTGAATTTAACCACTGATCAATGTTGATTACACAATAAGGTGCACACGTGAGACTCGGTACGAATGGCAAGTGGTTGCATTCGTAGTGTTGTTAAGTCTCTAAAAGAAGAAGCTATTTTAGCTGCGAGGTGCAGTTACATGTAGTTGGGTGCATAGGTGCACGGGCCACCATGTGGTTGCTATGGCAAAGGTGCACGTGCCAAGCACGGGCCACCCTTATCCCCGATCGAGTCCTTAACTCCGATCCCCTCATTCCCACACCTATTATTGTGAACCTTACAATATATCAGATTTTTCCCCCGCAATTGGTCGTATTCGTTAGGCTCGATCCCGTTTAAATATACGTGTATATTCGGTCCGATATGAGTTTGCAGCTTATCTATCGTCATAGATTTATTTCGTATTTGTATTACCACTCGCTCCCCCTCCGAATTGCTACAGCCTAAAGGTGCTTCAAAAGTTTCCATTTCCACTTTAAACCCCTTGGGTACTGTGGGAATATAGGGCTAGGCATCCAAGGTCACGTAGTTACACTAGTTAGCAGGCAGGCCTTGGCACCAGCATATAGCTCTCCCTCAGCTAGAATAGCTGACCTCTTCAGACTTCACGAATACAATTGGTACCAACATATATTCGTACTTCTCATTCGGTACCTGTGATACCGACAGGTACCCTAACTTCAAGGGCTCAACAATTACGTCTGTGACGTAGTACTCTAAGAACAAGCTTATCGTTACTCCATTATCTTTTTGAAACGCTTTTATCGCTTCTTTTAAAGCTAAACTTAGCTTGAGAGCTAAAGAAAGTATTTTCTCAAGGCGGTTCTACTAGTTCTAGTAGTTCTAGTAGTTCTGGTAATGTTCTAGGGGTGGGCAAAGATATGTTGGCATATCAAGATGTAGTAGCAATGCATATCTATTCATTTTGGCTGGCTGCTTAAACGCTACAGATTTTGATACTTGGCATTTAAGAGTTATCAAGTCCTGCCAATCGGTCACTTGTCGCCGTTGCCCGTCTCCACCACGCACGGCTTGCCAAGGTCTCGTTTAAACCAGAGGATCCGGTAAATTGGATCGCCAGTAGCGAACGTTCCAAACTTTTTATCACTAGCGTACAGCGCGCGTAGCTTCTTGCAATCGCAAAACAATGGGTGAAAATGATACTTGATTACCGTGTCTCCCCCAAGGTTCAAAGGAGCTGACTCCTTCTACATGATTAGAAGGAGTCACGAGCACCAGCTATACAATAGTGTTTACATTAAAGTTGGGGGTTCCCTGAGGGCGTGCCACGCTAAGCGAGGCATGCTCGTCCGTGCCTGAGATAGCCGAACCCGCCATTTCCCTCCCAACTACGTCGGATCGATATTGATGTACCGATAAGATAGCTAGCTGCATCGCGCTAAATGAAGCTACAAACTAAATGCTTAAGGAATAACTGGCTGCATCGCGCGGAAAAGTGCTATTGCTATAGGTAAAATGCTCGAGAGATAACTGGCTGCATGGCGTTAAAAGAAGCTCTTACAATAGATTATACTACTATGTAGTAGCTACGAATATTACACCGCGAAGTCCGGAAAACTTACCCCGGAACTTGCGGAGGGCCGTAAGTTTTAGCTTGCGGCCGGGCTAAAGCGTTACATTTTTTTTACGTACCATATCCTTTTAAAGCGTATTTCTTAAAGAAAACTAATGTGGCGTTAGTGCGGAAGGCAGCCTTGCACCACGACCGGCCGAAGCAAGGTCCCCTGGCCCGGAGCTTACGGAGGGCCGCCAGGGATCAGACCTCGTGTAGTCCATCATGCTACACAGTTGCTTTCGGAAGGTGTTCGTCTGTTGGTCCCAAACATAAGTATCGAGATGTCTGCTCTGTCTGTCATGTTCTGTTCTGTCCAGTTCTTCTACAGGCACTCACGGATTCCTCTCTTTTGCCAAACATGAAGCTCCTCTCCTCTTTTACTCTTCTCGGGTTTGCCATCGTAGCGGAATCAGCCAAAAAGAGCTACGATGGAGCCAAAGCGGTCCGTATTCCGGTTGGAGAGGACGTCACCCCTCTCAAGAAAGTGATCAAGGAGCTCAATCTTCCCGTCTGGAAGAGTGCCAAAGATGGGGTCCCATGTGCCTATTCCAATGTCGACCTCGTGGTACCAGCCGACAAGGTCAGCGAATTCGACAAGATGACAGCAAACATGGACACCAAGGTCATGCATGAGGACCTTGGGGCATCGATTGCGGCGGAGGAAACCGCACCTCCTGTGTCCAGTAGGGTTCCGGCTACGAAACGTAACCAGTGACTTATTCTGACGTTGAGTCTAGTTGCCGCCGCCAATCTGACCTGGTTCAATGCCTACCATGACTATGCGGACCAGTACGTGCCTCCGGGGCAGTAGCCTCTTCTTCTCTTCTCCTCTTTCATGAGTAATCAGCTTCCTAAAGCCACCCCTTGAGACACATACAATCGAAGGTGTGCTAACCGCTCGATCCCTGCAGTCTTCAATTTCTCAGTGATCTTGCTGCTATGTACCCTACGCGGGCCAAGGTAGTCACTATGGGTGCTTCGGACGAAGGTCGTCAGATCACCGGTATTCATTTCTGGGGGAGTTCCGGTCCAGGCATCAAGCCCGCGGTTGTCCTTTACTCAACGGTCCACGCGCGCGAGTGGATCACCACCGTGACCAACGAGTATATGGCCTACCACCTCTTGACCAACTATGACAGCGACCCCGAAATCAGAGGCTTTGTGGACCAATACGACTACTACATCTACCCCGTCGTCAACCCTGATGGTACGTTTTCCCAAACCCCTATCGCGCGTGTTCAATTGTATCAAGTACGTACGTATGTACGGGCCCTGGCGTGTTGACTTGCGTATAGGATTCGTCTACAGCCAGACAACCGATCGGTTTTGGCGCAAGAATCGCCAAGTGTTGCCGTCGAGCACTTGTGTGGGACGAGACCTCAACCGTAACTGGGCGTTCCAGTGAGTGTCTCTTCGATCTTCGACCAGATCCCCAGATCGACCTTTGCAGTACTGACTAACCCGGATAGTTGGGAAGTCGAGGGTGGTGCGTCCATCATTCCCTGCGAGGACGACTATAAAGGTACATTGTCATTCTCTAATTTCGCTGACCCCCGGTCGTCTGCTCCTATGTATGTATGTATATACATGCCTGTGCTGACAGACCATCGCCTCCAGGTCTTGAAGCCGGCGACGCGACGGAGACCAGGGTAATGATGGAATATACCAACAACATCGCCGCCACCCAGGGGGTCCAGCTCTACATCGACATCCACTCCTACGCTCAACTCTTTATGACCCGTAAGTCTTTGTTTCCCCTTCGTTCTCTCTCTATTTCTCTTATCCCCCCTCACACCAGGATGTACACATCCTCCGTCCCTCGTCCTCCACCCTCCACCCTCCACGCCATCAACTAACCCGCTCTCCACCCACCCCAGCCTACGGCTTCTCCTGCGAAGACGAACCCACCAACGGCGCCGTACTTCATGACCTCGCCGTCGGCGTCGTCAACGCCATCAGCGCCGTTTACGGCACCAGCTACACCGCGGGCCCAGTCTGTCCCACCATCTACCCCGTGACGGGCGCCTCGGTGGACTATGTCAACGACGTGACCAACGCCAAGTACTCGTTTACTATCGAGCTGCGCGACACGGGCGAAAACGGCTTCGTCTTGCCCGTGGAAGAGATCATGCCGACGGCGATCGAGACGTGGGCGGGGTTGCGGTACTTGTTGCTTAACATGCCTTGATGATGATGATGATGATGATGTTGTTGTTGTTGTTGTTGTTGGGTTTTGGGGGGAAGAGGTGGGAAGAGGTGGCAGTAACAGCCCGGAAAAGTAAAGAGTAATGCATGCAATGCAATGCAATGCAATGCAGGATTCAACTGTTTTTCGTAGGTATGTATCTATGGGAGCTTAATGCCCACAGCTGGTTATCGTCGCGCAGCCAGAGTGCGGCCGCCAAAAGAAGATAAGAAGTACGTTCCGATTCACAATCCGATCATCAAGTTGCTACCATCCCTATTTACTATCTGACTGACGGACACCACCTGAAAAGAAAGCCTCCTCTCCTACCGTGAAAAACTGCTGCTGCTTCTTTCCGGTACATCCCGGCCTTGATCATTGACGAGCGGACGAAGGTTTCGTGCTGCCACTCTACGCCAGACCATGGCCTCCCAAACTCTAAACAACCGAGTTGTTGACCTGGGACGTGTCAGCAAGTGTCTGCAATTCAGAAAGTTAAAGTGACTGACACGAGGTTCAGATATGCCTCGATAGGAACGAGTCCTCCACGTCCCGACATCTAGGCCCCAACTTGAACAGTCGCACTATCGCCTGCGCTCCCGGCCCCAGACCTAGTATCGGCTTGGTCATGGTAAGGCTCCTCTTCCCTTGCGGTACAGGCTGGGCAATTGCGACCACTTCTTTTTGTGCTCGAAGCACACGAGATCGGCGTTACAAGGTCATACTCTGTCGGTGGACCTCTCGCTCGGCAGCCACGCGCTTGTCGATTTTAGATTTTCTCAGGCATATTTACCGTGTGTCCGCGGTCGACAAAGTGGACAGGAGTAGGCTGCAACCAATGGCACATCGTTGCTAAGGTTGACAAGGGTTGCAGAGTTGGTCTAGATCTAATCAGGTACTTGGTGTCACTAATATTGACAACGTGATCTAGGCAAGCTTACATCTTTGGATGGATACAATTAGATGGTTGTGAGAAGGTTGGTTGATCGAGGGAAATAGGAAAAGCTCTGACTGCATCTTCATTGAAAAAGAGATAGGAAAAAGGCGAATGATGCTTAATAGGTTCTGGCAGCATATGGCCTTCAATCAACGGGATCATCGGAGAAGATACATTTGCGATCAGAATAAGTATGGGGTTACAAGTTCTTGAGAAAGTGCGGAATCCCCGTGGTGTGAGAAGTGCTCATGGTGTGAGAAGTGTGTATGGGTTTACACTTCTCAGCGGGTAAGAAATGCGCGTGGAAGTGTTCCTAGGGTGGTGACAAGTGCGTATGGGGTTACATTTCGCATGCGAGGGAAGTGTGGATGGGGCAGAGAAGTGTTCATAGGGTGGTGATAAGTGCGTATGGGGTGACATTTCTCAGCGAGCGAGAGATGCTCACGGGGGAGAGAAATGTCCCTAGGGTGAGATGTGTTTATGGGGGAACATTCCTCATGCGAGGAAAAGTGTGGATAGGGGTGAGACGTTTCTATAAGGTGAGGATTGTACCTGACGCTAGTCTTCCATCGCGCCTCCCAACCGGGCGCGGCTGATTGTTGATCTGAGAAGGGGCAAATGATGTGAGAGGAGGAGAGGAGCAAAGGATGAGGGGTAGTGGGAGTTCTGGTTCGATGAGCCTTGGTCGTGAATGCGGCAGCTGGGTGAGGAGGAATCAGACACATGGACAGATGGATCAACTTTTGTTCTTCCTATCCACCCCCTTCTGGAGGTAATTGGTGTTGGTGGCTGATTGATGGGGGTTAGCGTGGTTGTCAGGTTTGCCATTTCGGTTTTGACACTGTTGTACGAAAACGCCTTATGCTTTAGGTTTTCTATTACTTCCTGGGAGCCGTGCTCACTTCAGAGCTGTGCACAGCACGGTTCTAAGCTAAGCTAATATGTCTCGAAGCTCTCAGAGAGCTCTCTTACAGACCTCCCTCTTCCAAAAATATATAGAATGATCATCAGTCAAGATCCCTTCGATCCAGTCCGGAGCTCCCTCACAGACACCCCTTCCATGCCGTGCAACAGTTCAGAGCCTCATTCGTCCTGGTAGTTCAATTGCTTATCGCTTGAGCAATGGCTTGTTGGCTTCTAAGCTTTCTTAACCGAGAACCCGATGCCACCCGGCCATCGTCAATTGCGGAGGTGGTTACCTTCAACTCTCAAGAGCTTTTGCACGAGATGAACAGAGAGAAGTATGTCGAGGGTCTTGCAAGGGCATTTGCTTTGATAGAGAGATACTACGTACCTATACGTAGTACGTAGTACAACGTCACAGGCGTAAGTGTTACACCCTGAGGGTTGGGTAATCAGAAGGTTCAAAGTGGAGATTTAGACTTTTAAGGCATCTTCAGGCTGTAAGTAACACTTAGGCCTGTACCGTGGTAGGTAGGTATACATACCGGTACACACACATACGCGCGCACACAAGTTAGTACCCCAGCCTTGATCCTGTCGCTTGTCCCAGCGAATCGCCTGGGCCACACTTCCTCTCCTTCTCCATGGGGGCCTGTCCTTTTAAAGTGTCCGATACAATACTGTAGCCTAAGGCACTTACTCCCCCCCCATGAATAAATGTCGGACCCAGTTAAGCTCCATAAATCGTAGAGTGGTGATTTCTGAATGGCTTAAAGCCCTGTCAACTCAATTGCACAGACTAAATACTGACCTAAAGATACCACGGTACAGGCCTAAGTATTACCCCTCGAGGGTGCCTTAAAAGTTTAGTTTCCACTTTAAACCCCCTGTTTTCCCTACCCTAGAGGGGTAATACTTACGCCTGTACCGTGGTATTTACAATGTGAAATTGGTGGTGCTGCTAATAGTAAATTGTGATAAAGCGCTATAGAATCAGCCTCTAAATTCAACACCGAACTACCTAGGCCCCAAATCAACAACAAAACTCTCTCGGAGATGTCTACATTGCGAGCCTGTGAGCCACAAGCAGTTCTCACTGCGTCATATAACACAACGATTAACATAACGCCATGACGAACATAGTACAATGATTAACATAACGCAGTGATTAACATGACGAAATCATCAACATCACACATTCATTAATCACCAAGGCCATTTGACGATAGAGATACCGTAGACGTAGGTTTATCTTTAAACTCGACTGCTTGGAAAAAAGGAAAAGGTAAGCTTGTGAGACTTGTGAGTTTGGCTGACAGGCGCCTGTAAGCTTCGGTTGGTGTGATGACAGCCAGCCAGCAAGCTTCTTGATCTAAAGTACTAGCTGAGAGTAGCTTGCTAGAGAAGAAGCCAGCTGTCAAAAAATGAGCTAAGCTCAAAGAAGCCTGACGCTCTTAATTACGGCCATTCTGAAGCACATGAAGTGTGAGGTATGATGGCCAAGGATGGCGGGTGGGGAAAATGAGTAGAAGACTTCCAAGCAGTCGATCGCCGCTGATGAGGACTCTTAGCTCGGGGAGAGTACCACTGTAACATAGCCCAATCTGACCAAAGGCCTTCTGAGGACTCTTAGCTCGGGGAGATTACCACTGTAATATAGCCCAATCTGACCAGAACCCGTTATCTTATATCCTGCCGACGGCCTTTCAAGGCATTAAGAGTTGTAGCCCGCTTCCTCCTTTGAGAGTATGAACACAAACAATTTAAATGAGAGCTGAGCAAGTCGTAGGCGGTAAGGCCAGCTACAACTAAGCAGCGAAGCGAGAAAGAACGATGACTCAGCGAGCAGAATCCAACGTCGCAAGACCGGAAGCGAGTATTTTCGGCGCTAGCATTGTTGACAGGCTCAAACGCATGTTCAAAGTCTCTAATCAACACAAGTAGAATCAAAATTGTATAGTTCTCTGCTCGATACCGTTTATTTAGAATGTTTGAAAGATACCTCAGTACGGGCCTAGGCGTTACAGCTTAAGGGTAGGCTCTCGCTGATTTTATAAGCTTTTGTCCGACCTGGCTGTGTACCACCCCTCCGCCACGATTACGTCTGAATAACGCTGTCTCATACGTACAGTACTGTACCAGTAAGTACTGTACAACTACGTAGTACGTAGTACTCATTGATATTTGGAATATTGAAACTGTAGGAAAAGGTTGAAAAAGCAGGGCTCAAATACCCATCGATTAGAGTTCGAATCCATCCGATATACTTTTGCTATATGCCCGATCCAATAGGACGCTTCTCCGATTTACTATTGGAGTCTACTTCGACACCCTTCGAAAATCCTATCTCCCTGGGTAAGAACCCCTGTTTCGTACTCAGCATATCCAGATGCAAATGAGCGTTAATGCTATTCGTTTTTGCCTGCTCGAGAGCTGAAGATTTTGATCCTTGGCATTTCTGAGTCATCATTTCCTGCCAATCGGCCTCTTTCTCGCCGGTTTCCGTCCCCACCGCAACACGGCTTGCCCAGCTCTCATTTAAACCAATGTCTAGGGTACCTGCTCATCGGAACGTATCTTGTTTTTGACGAAATGAAACGCACTCTGGGTGTGCGAGAAGAAGCTTTATTGGGAAAAAAAAAAAAAGAGATTGGGACTTGGAGCTCCTGATCACCTGCTGTGAGCAAACCTGCCGGCCAGATTTGCAGGTGAACTCTGCAGGTTTCGGCTCCTTTGGGATGGGTGCTCCGAAAGGTTAACTCGAGATAACTCCACTGTGGGTCTGAGATAGACCCAGAAGAGCGAAAAACAAAGTATAATTTGGTCAGGGTCCTTATCAGGGCCTGAACCAATGAACTAATCGAGATTTAGCCTTGAAGGGTATCTCGGAGCAAGTACGTACAACTACTACTATTTAGTCGGTGCCATGGAGTTGACAATGCTTTGAGCCATTCAGAAGCCACCGCTGTACGATTCATGAGGCGAGACTGGGTCCGTCTCCCATTTCGGAGGGGGGATAGTACCACGTACTTGGTGGTCTCCAGGTCCTGCAAACCACGAGCAGGTTGAAATATCCTCTCGAAGGAGCTTAGATTACCCCACTGTTTTCTATCCAATAGAGCTTAAACGACCCCATTAATTCCCGGAGAGGGTATAGACGCTCTTGGTATTCAACGACAAGTGGGGCTGAATAGACGACGTGTGGAGCTGGAAAAGCACAAAAGCTCTTCGCGCTCCCCACGCCGTGTAGCAGCTTTACCTCTTTAGTAATAGGTGTTTGCGCCAAGCCACCTGCCAAAACTTGCCCGGATCCGACCTGGAAGTTCTGGCAATGCTCTCTCTCATCGCGCCTTTCCAACATGGGATAAGCTCATGGGGGTTGGGGCCAGTCTGTCTGAGTCAGCGACAGAGCTTGGTGGGGTTTGGCTCTCCTTGGCTCTCCTTGGCTCGGCTTGGCTCGGCTTGGCTGGGCTTGGCTGGGCCAGAAGCTGCACACCTGGACGGACGACCGAGCTTCGTTTGCTACTTACTCCGCACCTAGGTATTTACCCCGCTCTGGAGATAAGTGGCGTTGGCGGCTGGGTCATGGGGTAAAGTAGTGCGATTGTTTATCAGATTATCCGTTTCGATATTGATGTGTGTGTGTGAGTGTATGGTAGTATGTGTGTATGTATCTATGCGTGTACCGGTATGTACATATATATACATATACCTTTACATGTACATATATACCTTATACATGTATACATATACCCCTACATGTGTTTATATCCATATACCCATCCACGTACCTATCTATGTATCTTTGTGACATATCAAAGACTTCTGCGCTTCCTCGTCCCGGTTGGTGAATCACTGCTTCGTATCAAGTCCCCAAGCCGTGATCATGTCGCTTATCCCAACCAAGCTCCCTTCTCCGGAGTAAGCTTTCTCGTCCCGGGTCGGCTTTCGCTTAATATTGCGGGGGGCTGGGGATTGTAGCCTGCAGCTGGAGAACGAGGGGAAAGCTCCTCATGTGATGAAGCGAGTGGGGCGGGTCACGGGACCCTGCAGGATTAAGGTTCACGACTCTCAAGACTTTCAAGAACATTCAAGACTTTCAAGACTTTCAAGACTTCTACAGTAAGACTTCCAAGACTTCTACAGCAAGACCTCCGAGACTTCTAACTCCAAAGACTCGAGATTGTCGACTCCAGGGCATCTGGCACGGTGCCCCGGGCGCCACTGACTCTGATAAACAATCGACTTCGACTCGTGGGAAAAGACGTCTCTCGCTTCCGCTTCCCGGTCCCGGACCCGGACCCAGACCCCCAAAGTCTCACCCACCTCGCCTGCGCTGGAATGCAAACTCGACACTCGGCTCAGCTGTTTCCAGCCAGCATCTAGATGGCCTTGGTACGACGTCCTGCATGCGGCCCATCACGTGCACCCATGTATCTGTACCCCAGATCATGGTGATGGACCAGTGACTGACTGACACTGACTGACACTAACTGGTCAATGTCGGCTGGTGGCGTGGAGCATTGGAAGGAAGTTGGACCATGGAAGTTGGAACAAGGAACTTATTTATAGGTCCGGGGGCTCCCACTTCTTGTGGGTGCGGCAGGATTTTGTGACTTTCACTCCTTCTCCCCCCTCTCCCCACTTCCCTTCCCCTTCTGGTATATATTCGATAACATCAGTTTCCGCATAACATAACCATAAGCAAAGAAGTTGAATCAACTCAAACTCGAACTCGAACTCGAACCTCAACTGCCTAGGAAACCATGTCCGAAAAGTTCTCTGGCTCGGCCGAGAACGTCGACAGCGCGACTTCTCACAACGAGAAGATCGGTGATGCCGACCCCGCGCATCATTTCAGACAGGACCATCACAATCTCGGGGCCGCATCTGCTGCGCTCAACATTGTCGAGAACCCGCTGAGGGTAAGGTTCCCGTCCCCAACTCCGTCCTTCTCGCTTGTAAATAAACAATCGCCACTCGTTGTTTACTAACTCGCTTGCTCTCACAGCGCACCTCCCCCGCAGAAACGGTTCGCGTTGCGCGCGAGTTCGCCGAGAAGAATGGCATGGCTGAACATGCGGCGCTCTTTGGACGAGCGGCCCTCGTTGCCCGTGATGGCGACAGGTTCGAGATGCAGAGCGAGCTGCTGGATGATGAGCGTGCTGCCTTGATCTACGAGAGGGACCACAAGTGGCACTCGTCCAAGATGATGTGGTATTCCATCATGCTGTGTGCTGTGGTAAGTCTTCATCGCCATGCCCTCTTCCTTCCAGATGTAGAGAAGAAAATGAAAAAATATATATCCATTAAAATTCCGGTTGAGGAACTCGTGTCTGACCTGGTCTCTAGGGAGCTGCCACGCAAGGATGGGATCAAACCGGATCCAATGGTGCCAATCTCTCCTTCCCAGAGGAATTTGGCATTGCGGGCACAGGACGCGATGAATGGATCGTCGGTATCGTCAACGCCATCATCTTTCTGACTGCTGGTCTGATGTAAGCATCCTGACCCCCCCCCCTCCCCTCAACCCCCCCGCCGTCATCTAACAAGCCGCCAGCGGAGCATTCATCGTCGATCCCCTCAACAAATACCTCGGTCGTCGAGGCGAGATCTTCCTCACGGCCATCTGCCTCACTGCTACTCCCATCGGTTCCGCCTTCACCCAGTCGTGGCAAGGGCTTTTCGCGGCTCGTTTTGTCATGGGTATTGGTATCGGGGCGAAAAACGCCACTGTGCCCATCTACTCGGCTGAGATGTCGCCCCATCGCATTCGTGGTGCGCTGGTCATGTTCTGGCAACTGTGGGTTGTAGCCGGTACGTCTCTATTCCTGTCGCAGTCCCCCTTTCTCTCAAGTCTGCAACATCGCGCTAAGCACGAGAGCAGGTATCTTCCTCGGCTTCGCAGCAAACGTGATCGTCAAAGATACGGGCAAGATCGCATGGCGCCTCCAGCTCGGCTCGGCCTTCATCCCATCCTTTATCCTCATGGTCGGCATCTGGTTCTGCCCCGAGTCACCCCGCTGGCTCATGAAGAGCGGCAAGCTTGCGAAAGGTTTCAGATCCATGTGTGCCCTGCGCGCGCACCCTATCATCGGCGCACGGGACTTCTACTACTCCTATGTCATCTTCCTCGAGGAGCAGAAGATTGCTGGAGACTCAACCTACTTTAGCCGCATGGCGGATTGTTTCCGGATTCCCAGGATCAGGAGAGCGAATTATGGCGCGAGCACTGTGATGATCGCGCAGCAGATGTGCGGCATCAACGGTCCGTTTTCCCTCTTGATCTTATTTCGTGCACGTACTGATTTCGAGCGGCAGTCATCTCTTTCTACTCCTCAACCATCTTCTCCGAGGCCGGGTACACCAACACGCAAGCCCTCTACGCCTCCCTCGGCTACGGTGCCGTCCAGGTCGTCTTCACATTCCCCACGCTCTTCCTCATCGACACCAAGGGCCGCCGCAATCTCTGTCTGATCGTAAGTTCTCTCGCGCCTGCCTCCCCCCCTCCTCCTCCACTCCCCCAGCTCGCGAACTTGACTAAACAACGCAGACGTTCCCCTTCATGTTCCTCTTCCTCCTCGCCGCCGGCCTCTCGGAGCTGCAGCCCGCCGACGGGGCCAAGAAGGTCGGCCCGGTGATCCTCTTCATCTACCTCTTCACCATCGCCTACTCGATGGGCGAGGGCCCCGTCGCGTTCCAGTACTCGGCGGAGGTCTTCCCGACGATCCAGCGCGAGCAGGGCATGTCCTGGGCGGTGTGCATCAACAACACGTTCGCCGGCATCCTCTCGCTCACGTTCCCGCGCATGAAGACGGTCATGACGCCGACGGGCGCCTTCGGCTTCTACGCCGGCCTGAACCTCATCGCCTGGGCCCTGATCTTCTGCTTCGTGCGCGAGACCAAGCAGCTCACGCTCGAGGAGATCGACCAGGTCTTCAGCGTCCCGACCCGCGAGTTCCTCGCCTACGAGACCAAGGTCTGGCTGCCCTGGTGGTTCCGCCGGACGGTCCTCCGGCAGAACGTGCCGCGCCCGCCGCCGATTATCGAGAAGGCGGACCTGGTGCGCGAGGGGGATATTGTTGAGGCGTAGAGGGTGTAGGGGGCTGAGCCAGAGGAGGAGGAGGAGGAGGAGGAGGAGGAGGAGGAAGTAATTTTCATTTTCATTATCTTTTCTTTTCTCTCTCTCCCCTTTTCCCTCTCTCTCCCTCTCGTTTCCCTCTCTTTCCTCTCTCTCTCTCTCTCTCTCCTTCCCCTCTAGCATAGAAACTCGAATAATACGACGTGACGAAGGAATAGGTAGATGGGTGAGCCTGCCGTCGCGGAAAGGCTGGCCCTGGAGCTTGGAGCTTGGGCGTCTATACATACATATATACATATATATCTCTCTGTCTATCTATCTATCTCTTTATTTATCTATGTGTTTTGTGTTTGTTTGTGTGTGTCTCTATATATATCTATATATATACATATCTATACAACTCATCAAACCGCATCTAAAAAAAACCCCTTTTTCCTCCTCCTCCTCCTCCTCCTTCGTACTTACGTGTAGGGTAGGAGACTAACACTTGGTCTTCTTTTCGGGGTGTTTGGGTGAGTGTTGCTTTGCTTTGCTTTGCTTTGGATTGCATAACATGGCATGGCATGGCATGGGGAATAGAGGTTGCTTGGTTGCTTACTTGTTTATTTGCTTACTTGTTGCTTACTTACTTAGTTACTTACTTGTTTATTTTCTTACTTACTTACCTAATTACTTATTTACTTATTTACTTATTTACTTATTTACTTATTTACTTATTTACTTA